TGGCCAACCAAATTAATCTGGTCAGGTTGGGGAGTTGGTCAATTGCAATCGACTGACCTTTTGTGAAAACTGACCCACTCAAGTTGTATCGGTTTGGGTTGATTTTTTTGGTTTGGTCAATTGCTTCAAAATATTTAAACTTAAAAACAATTTAATTTTAAAAATTATAGTGCAATTATTAAAAAAATAAATTTAAAAAACAGATTTATGACATAAAAAATTTTAGACTAAGAAATATGAGAAATTCCCACTTTTCCGTATTGAAAATTATATTTAAATATAAAATATTAATATATCCATGGTTAGGTCGTTCGATTTTGGTCGGTTTACAAATGGTCAAAGTGAAATTGATCCAACTTGGTCGAATTGGGAAATTTTTAAACCAAAGCTTGATGTAGGGTGATTTGGCCCTACCTAATAATAAGGGAACACGTGGACACAACCTAATTGACAAGGCGACAGCTCATCTCGACGTACCCAAGTCTGCGACGGACCGAGCTCGGATAACCGAACCACCTCGGGGCAAGTCGACTTTAGGACAAGTTCACTTCGGGACATGATTGCATCAAGATCACCTCAGTTATAAGGTACCTCGGCATTCGTACCAGGATGGATCCAAGGGGCACTAGTTCAGGTAATGTTGACCAACCTATGCATGATAACCCTGATGATCTCGCCACCAGATTCCACGGGATCACGCCTCGTAACAACTAGCCTTATCTCCTCCAACCGATTCGGACAACAACGATATGCTCTATCGGCTAGCGATGTTATCTCCAGTTAATACAGTAACGGGCCTCATCACGGCAAGAATCCCAGAACCACTCCAAAAAAACCCACGAGGACTCTAGTATATAAAGACCCCAACTCTTCAGGGGCAAAGGTACGCGTAATCACTGCTCACTAGCTCTCTTGCTTTCTAAACTACCTTCAGCTCGCAAACTACTGACTTAAGCATCGGAGCAACCTCGCTGGGTAAGCACCCCTAGGTTCTCTGATTCTCTCTATGCAGATCAGCCAACTCCATCGTCCACTGGAAGCCAAGTCATCTCCAACTAGGAGCAGCCAGATTGCATCGCATCGTTGACCTAAAATACTTGAAAACCGACCAACTTGGTTCGAGTTGATCAGGTTGGTCGATTTCATTAGTTTGATGAATAAACCTAACTGAAATTATTGTTATTTTTGTATTATAAAAAATTTATTAAAAGTAGTATATAAAATATTTAGTATAATTAATTATTTAAAATTTTGAAAATATAAAACAATTGTACACTCTTATGTGTTTCTATTTGGGTCATTTACTAGAACACACCTTATACTTTTACATATTTACTTAAACCTACCTTATAGTTTTCATTTTACTAAAAGATCCTCTATATTTTACAACTTATTTAATTAATCAACCTTGAGTATTTGTTTTTCCATTAGGCCCATGATTTTTATTTCCAAAAATACCCTTAATATTTTTTTTGTACATAAAACAAAATTGACTAAATATAGCCAATAGAGTGGTTGCTCGTGTCTTATTTAGGACAAAAATGGTATTTTTATTTTTATTTTCTTTTGATTAAATTTATTTAAATGAGCATTAGGGTCAACACTGTCATTTTCCACTATCATCTAATGGAAGATTGATTAAATCCATTGCAAATTATAAGTGGTGTTTTATTAAAATGCTAAATATAGGGTAGATTTTAGTAAATCCATGAAACTATAAGGGGTATTTTAGTAAATGACCCTTTCTATTATTTAGCTTTTGCTTAATAAATCACGTGCGCCGCATGGGTCCCTGCTAGTAAGAATATAAAATATAAATAATTTAAGAAATTACTAAATAATACTATAACTAACTAATTTTTAAATGTTGTAAATATAAAAAAAATTAATAACTAAATCATATTTTAAACATTATTTGATAAACAAAAAATAGATTATCTAACAAAATTATGAAATAACTGACTTGGAGGTATTGAAGCTTTTCATTTATTATTTATTGTATTTTCGTTATAAATTTATTTTTAGTTATTGTGTATTTTTGCTATAAATTTTCAATAATTATTGGGGATTAAACCATTGCTATTTGTTAGAAATTAGATTATTGATTTAGTTGAAATTATGAGTGTTCACTAGTCGGTTCAGTTCGGTTTGATTGTAGATTGTTAGGCCAACTAAATCGATTTGGTCAGGTTAAGGAGTTGGTTACTTGAAATTAACCGACCATTAGTGAAAATCGGCCAACTTGATTTGTATCTATCAATGTTTTAAATCTGATTCGGAGATAGATCTACTTTTGCATCTAGGTCGTGATCTCTAGTTCAACCATCTGGGTCGAGAAAGTCAGGCCATTCCATGTTAGCACTCTATGTATTTAAATAAATTTATTTGTATACAAATATAAATGTGTGTGTGTGTCTATATATATATATATTATTTTATATTTTATTTATGTTTTTAATGTAGTTATTAATTTTTTACTTATACAAAATATTAAAAATTATGATTTGAGGCCATAAAAGGGTTTGTTTTCACAAAAATAACAGGGCAAGGCACCCATGGCTCCTTGGGATGCATAGATTTTGAAAATTTACCCAAAATCATAAAAAGATCACCTTAATCGAAAATGGAGTGCAAAGTCATGGTCTCTGAATGTTTGCACATACATTAAGTTTGCAACCCATAACTTGGTAATCCGGTCAAATGGGTAAATGGTTGAGCCATCCAGGTTGGACAATTTTATATTGAAGGACGAATTTCAATAGAATGGACCTGGAATGAAGGTCGGGTGACAATTCGAATGGTTCAACCAGCCGGATCATCGATAGGTTAAAAACACTAGTATCAATTTGCTCGGTTGGTTCAGACATGGGCAAAAGACAAAAGAGGCAGTTCAGACATGGACAAAAGACAAAGGAGGCAGTTCAGACATGGGCAAAAGACAAAAGTGCCCCCATAGAAATTTGAAAATACCTGTAATGCCCTTCATATAAGCCAAAAATTTAGGTCATTCGACTCCTCCCCGTGGAGATTTTCCACTAGGAAGTTCTGCTCTCTTCTTCTTCATCCTTGACGTTAGAATGTCAATGTTGCTCCTGGCGATGCTACATTTCAGATCTTCTTCTTCTTCTTCTTCTTCTTCTTCTTTCCTGCCACCGCTGTTGCAACTCTCAATAGCGGCATGTCTTTTATTCCTCATTCTCTCTCTCCCCCTGTCTTCCCGCCACTGCCGCTGCAACTCTCAGCGCGACGTGTCTTCGGTTCCTCTCTCTCTCTCTCTCTCTCACTCCCCTGTCTTCTAACCATTGCCACTACAACTCTCAACAGCACTAACGGTTCTTTCCAATTTTATTCTTATTTTAACAAATTATTTTTTATTTTTTTATAAATTATATTTGTATTAATTATTAAATATTTTAATAGTTTTAAGATATTAATTTGATAATAATTTTTTATTACTTCGTGGTCTTTATTACTATTTTCATTATTATTTTAACTCTTAATAATTTATTTTTTTTATAAATTGATATGTATTTTTCAATTTTATTCTAATTTTAATAAATTATTTTTTTTATTTTTTACAATTTACTCCTATTTTTCAATATTATTTTGAATTTAACAAATGATTTTTTATAAAATAATGCAAATTTGAACTCAAAATTACCAAATAGTCTATTCTAAGGGTAAAATAGTAAGATCAATGAATTTCAGATACTAAAGGTTTGATCCAACACAAACAACCTTCGCACCACCTAAGTCCTAACCATTTGTTCTATCGTGTTCTTTCTAGTCTATATTATGCTTTTTATAAAAGATTCAGATCCGATGGCTTTCACTTAGACTTTGCATCATCTTTAGACCCCCTATGGTAGATTGTCATTTTTAGACCCCTGCGATAGAATGTCATTCAATTGGATATCAATTGTTGAGTTGAATAGTCCAAATCAAAATTGCAGAGACATAATTTGGGGCTGGAGGCGGGTGGTCGATCCATCCTGATCCCCGACGCCCTCAATGTATGAATATGGAGTCATAGTTTTAAAAAACAACCAAGAAATGGAACCATTCTGGCCATCTGGGTTGACAATTCGACCATTCAGTTCAAATGGATGGCTTGTTTTGATAAAAAATTAAAAACATAAAAAAGTAATTAAAAATAAAAAATAGCCAAAAACCGTTGAACGGGTCGGTGGTTCAACTGCCCGGGTCAATGGGTCATTGATTGATTCAACGGTTTTTGGCTAGGGGCCGGGTTTGGGGTAAAATGGAACCGGTTGCCTGAATGGTTCCTGGGCCAAATGGTCCAACCGTCTAGGTCAACGACGATTCAAAAACCATGTATGGAGCTGAGTAATGGTCCACGGTATCTCACCTACAAATTGCAATGAATGCAACACAAAATAAAGTGCAACGTGGACATTCGACCGGCCCAAAATAATGGGTTAGAGATAAGACTAGCCTAACACCATTCTATAGTTTTTGTAAGAAAAATTTCCGGCTTCTAGCATATAAGGGCAACTTTTTGCCCTAAATATCAAATGTTAAAGTGAGTCGAATAGGGGTAGTTTAGTCATCTTATGTTTGTTAAGTGATTTGCTTATCTGGCAATTTTATTAGAGACACTCTGCCCCACACTTAAGTAAGGGCAATTTAGTCTTTGTAAAGGTCATTAAAATCTAAATGACTATTAAGGGGGTCGACTGAATGGTGTACTAATTTCCTTAGCAGTTATGTAGACATTCTCTCCGGTGGCTAAGATTGGCTCTGTTCGTGTACTAATTTCCCTAGCAGTTATGTATGATTGGCCTCTGTTTCAGCTTGACATAAAAAATGCCTTCCTCCATGGTGATCTGGTGGAGGAGGTATATATGGAGCAACCACCTGGGYTTGTTGCTCAGGGGGAGGATGGTAAGGTGTGCAAACTGAAGAAGGCAATTTATGGGTTGAAACAATCGCCACGTGCTTGATTTGGGAAGTTCTTCGAAGTGGTGAAGAGTTTTGGAATGAAGGAATGCCAAGTTGATCACTCAGTGTTCAACTATGACTCAGAAGCTGGGAAGATCTTATTAGTGGTCTATGTGGATGATATTGTCATTACTAGCAATGATAAATTGGGGATTGACAAACTAAAGGTATTTCTGCAAAATCATTTTCAAAYAAAAGACCTTGGAACATTAAAGTATTTCTTGGGAATAGAAGTTGCCAAGTTGAAACAAGGTGTACATCTGTGCCAAAGAAAATATGTTTTTGATCTATTGGAAGAAGCAAGACTGTTAGGGGTAAAACCGGCTGAGACACCTATGGAACCAAATGTTAACTTGAGCAGTGATACAGGAGAAGTATTTGAAGATCCCGGAAGGTATAGATGACTAGTGGGGAAGCTGAACTATCTGACTTTCACGAGACCCGACATCTCCTTTGCAGTCAGTGTGGTGAACCAATTCATGTAGAACTCTCGTATACCTCACTGGGATGTAGTTCTTAGAATTGTAAGATATCTGAAAGGAGCTCCAGGCCGTGGACTATTGTATAAACTAGGAGGAAAACTTGAATTAGTTGGGTATACAGATGCAGACTGGGCAGGCTCAGTGATTAACAGAATATCTACTATAGGCTATTGCCATTTCTTGGAGGAAATCTTGTGACGTGGAAGAGTAAAAAGCAGACGGTTGTGGCCAGAAGTAGTGYTGAAGCTGAGTATAGGGCCATGGCACACACTACCTGTGAATTAGTGTGGTTGAGGAATCTCYKAMAARAAATTGGGTTYCACATGGATAAACCTATGAGATTGTACTGTGACAATCAAGCTGCACTCCATATCTCATC